AGATAAAAAAGTAACTCTTACTGTCCCAGTATATTGTCGATATACTGGGGCAGTAAGGGACAATACATTGTTGCAGCATTATAAAACTGAGATATTTTCAGTGCCTAGATTTTTAACCTAGAGACAGCATGGGCTGAAAACATTGAATGATACATTGGATAAAAAGAATAAAGAAAATAAATGCCGCATACTGTAGTTCAAATCATCAAATCAAATCAAATCAAACTTTATTTCAGGAATGCATACATTTACATGAATAAAATTCTACAGTACAGAGGAGCTCCCGAAGTTAGAAAACTGTCAGGGGGACCTCCGTTATAGAATAAGTCAAGTGCGATATCGTTCCACAAGTTGCCAACACACACATAAAATACGCGAGTACGCATTCAAAACCACAACTTTTACTAACTACTTCTTTTTAAAAACAAATAGAGAGTGTAACAAACTTCCCGAAGATATTGTAAACTTCAGTGACAACAGCGGTTTTTTTTGTCCATCGTTGTGACATCGTGGCATGCTTATTCACTTTTAGTACCTGTTTGCCACATGTCACATTGTACTAAAATATTTTTCGATTGCATGCTGTAATTATTATATGTTGTTTTATTTTCCAGAATGTTTAAAGCGTCACTATTCACAGAAATCTTAGTAACCACATTGAATTTCGTGTGTAAACTCCCCTGCAGTAATGCCACTATGGCGTTGCAGGAACTCTAAATAAATAAAAATGAAATATAATTTCACCTCTTTCTGCACTGAAATAGAATCAAGGATTAAACTGTGACTTTTCCTAAGCACATCACTTGGTATTTTACACACTGCCACACTAAAATACTTTGCTATGTCTGGTTTTGCGTGTTTTCCAGACCACATACAAAGGGCCCATGCACTTATTTACTTGCACTTCAATTAAACTTTCGCATTGAGGCAATCTAAGGTCAAACAATGTAAGCATAACTAAAATCACATTAACGTACTTACATTTCATTTATGCAATCTAGAATTTTATGGCAGGAACTACATACAAAAAGAAAACCAAGAAGCTGACTGTGCTGGCAATACAGCTTGAAATGGCACAGCTAATGATAGATGAAGTGATCACAATTCATTTTACGTCAAGCGAAATTCCTGGCATAGTACCTTGTCTCGGCAAACAGACGGACAGGGATTATTAGTGGCAAAACAAAAAAAACAATATGAATAACATTTTCATAAATTAAATATATAGCAAGCCATATATTAGCCATACCAGAAGCTGGGCTTATTGACCAAACAGTAATACGTGTTTTGCAGCGGCAGTTATGTCCTTATGCGTATAGCCAATGATGGGCAGGCAACATTGATGTAGTAAACTACACATACTCTGCTACTATAGCACATGTGATTCACCAATAACTGCAACAGATGCTAGCAGAGAAGCGTACATACCTTATAGCAAGGATGTCAACAGTACATATAAGCTGGATACCAAGAGTCGTTTTAGTGCTTTCACTGGAATATTCAGTCAATTTTAAGGTAAAAAAATGTAAGTACTGTTTCTTTTTCGACGAACTACAACGTTTAGTTGATGCAATATGACCATACATGTGGTGTAGGAATAATGTGAATGTCTGCGGCAACGTTAAACGTAAAGGCACAATTATGCAGTTTACTTACAGCCAATATATTTGCTCATGATCTCGAACACAACTCTGTGTGTGTGTGTATTTATTATATATATATATATATATATATATATATATATATATATATATATATATATATATACTGTGCAATGTCAATTTTTATTTAAGTGGGCACGTGAGCGTGTGGCCTGCCAACTCTGGTGGCTGCTTGCAGCATGTTCAAACGGGAGCGAGAACTACCACAGCCTCTTTTCGTGTCATCTAGTGGCGAGCAAAACAAGCAGTCATAGGCGATATAAAACTGGTGGCAAACTTGAACCCCTCCCCCTTTTTAAGGCAGAACAGGTCAGGCCTGGCCTCTTGTGGGTTCAATTTCTGCTGGAACCCCGATATTTTTGCATTCGCCTCAATGCTGCTAATGTCAGTTTTCATTACCACTCTCACATTCCAACAACCAATGTCTTTTTGCCACTCCTGGTAAATATAAATTATCAATCACCTGTGGAATCGTGGCTCATGGTATCCAATTATATGCCATATAAGTCTGGAGAGAAGGCTTTGACAGCGAATGCAACGGGATTTTCACCTTAGCCGTGCCATGACCAGGTCAAAAAAGAAATTACAACTCACTCAGACTCAATTAAGAAATACAATTTGCTATGAGAACTCACTCCTACTCAGACTCGCCACAATGAGAGCGCTCAGTCTCACTGTACTTTTTCAGAACCGAACTGAAGTACGGACCCAAGCTCACCAACATAGCTACTCAGACTCACAGTTTCGCCTGAATCTGGGCTGATTCACGAGTTCATTAGTGCAAAATTACCTTTTTCAATCTTAGTGTTAAAGCTCCTTAACACAAGCAACTCGCATAATCGATTCCTTATAATATGCCTTTAATCTTGAAGCTTCAAGAACGAGTTCTCAGCGGTTTCAATTCGATGAGATTTTTATGAAATATGCGACTCGCGCGGGATATCTTGAGGAACCACCTACCCTGAAAACATTGGTGGGGAGGGTCGTGGCGCCCTTGCACCCCTAATTCGCACTTTGAATCAAGAAATATTGCGCAGCACATTGTTGAGGTATCTGTGAAAAGACTTAGTACAAAGTTGAGTTGATGTAACACTCAACCAATGAAAAAAAAATGTCAGTGTTCCCTCAAGTAGCAAAAATTATTTTTGGGGTTCAACATCTCTAATCACCATGTCATTACGAGACAGACGCCGTAGTGAAGGGTTCTGTAAATTTCGACCACCTGCGGTTCTTTATAGTTTGCACCTATATCTATGTACAAAGGCCTCAAGCATTTTCACCTCCATTTAAAATGCCGCTGCTGTGAATGAGATTTCATCCTACACCTGTGGGTCCGCAGTTGAGCATCATGACCACAAGACCGCCATGGTGGGTGAAATAGCGAAAAAAATGGAACATGTATGATGCAAAGAGGGCTCTCTGAATATGCACAAAAAAACATTTGTTTTTCCACTTGACAACTCTGCTCAACAATGGAAATTGCACACCATTGTGTCAGCAAAAGGTTTTCTCAAGGTCTTTAATGTGGTTGTCATTAATGTTTAGACCTCTATCAGTATTGTCAGTACCACACTGCTTAGATTACTATAGCTGTTGAAACGAATAATTTTTTCATATCACTGCACACTGCTGCCTTGGCCACATGTAACAGTAATCAACACTTGAACTTCCTACATGCTGTGCACTGCATTCAATGTATGCATACCTGAAAATCACAGAATTTTCAGTGTCACATTATTTCTATTCAAGAAGATGACATTCAGCAATGCTCATCACAACGATTAATAAAATGACTTACGCCCTTGTTTGCATGGTATCCTTGAGAAAGTATAGAAGCTGAAAATATGGTCACGTGATGGTGATACACTCCACATCGTCCAGGCCGGCACCGCTCTTTGCTTTTTAGATGCGGAAGCATCTTATACTCGCGCCTTGTAGTGCGCCGTCCGCGCCGTCCACACCGCTTCTCGAACATTCGACAGCTGACGCGCGCGCATGCGCCGTCGCGCCGTCGCCCACTCTTCCACCATCTGTGCATCCCTTCCTCCTCTACACACCGCGCGTGCTTCACTCCTCCACCATCTGTGCACCCTTCCTCCTCTACACACCGCGTTCGACATCTACAATTCTCCTGCTTCTCCAGTGGACGCGCATGTGGCGTCGCGCTTCGAGAACATTCAACAGCTGACAGTGCATGCGCCGTCGAGCTGTATATATACTCAAGGTCGGCGCACGCTCGCTCAGTTGCCGCTCGTCGGTTGGTTTGTACGGTGCGTCGACGTCCAAGGTCGCGGTGAAATGAATTCCAACGAATCCACAAACACAACAATGATCGACGTCCCTTCGACCAGCGCCGCCCTTTCGCATACGTGTGTACGTGTTCACTCATTTAACACCCCCTCCTACAACCACGTTAACCAATTTAGCCATCGACCCAAGTAAGTCGCAATTTAACACCCCATTTCACAACCACGTTAACCAATTTAGCCATCGACCCAAGTAAGTCGCACTTTAACACCCCGTTAACCAATTATATGCTCCGCATCCTCCTCAGTGTTCCCCCGAGGAAAGCTGCGGGCAATTTTTTTATTTGCTACGAAGAGCCGCCAGAACTTGTCACGTAGCGACTTCCAGCGCTTCTGTACAAGCTCGGCGGCGTCTGCGCAATGGGAAATACAAAGATTGAAGCGCTTATGCATGTCGCACGAACGACCCAGTGCTAACTTACCATCAATATTTACATTCGGTAACACGGCTGCAGCTACCTCCCGCCACATCGCGGCCTTCACAATCTCGTCTTTGTGCTGCCGGTGGCTCGCAATCCATAATGGTAGTCTATGCTGCACTGCAGCGATGAGAATCTCGTTGTCGATGAAGGCACCGTCCGTTGCTTGCTCCTCACACGACAACTGCAGCACTGCACGGCTGAGCACAAAGCACCGCGCTTGTGCAGCACATGTTCCGGAAGTGAGACCATGAGCGCCGTAATCATCCGGTGCGACCGTAGTTCGAAAATTTTCAAGGCCGAAAATTGTCATGCCTGCCTATTGCATCGGCTGCTATTGGATGTAGTTTTGCAGGAACACATACAATCAGCTAGAAATTTTCACAGTAGGACAGTTTTACCGTTGCACGACGACGGCTCACAGATCACACAGTTGCATTCGTCGTATGCTTCTCGTTAACACGCACACTGGTGCTACAGTGCAATTCATTCACGTAAACACGCACATCGAAGCTTCAGTGGAATTCGTTCACGTAAACACGCACATCGGAGCTACAGCTGAATTCGTTGATGTAAACACGCACGCCGGATAAATCGTTCGTGTCAGTGACACCATGTACTACAGCTCAACGGAGTCCGTACGCCTTTCTGTTGGCGTGGGGGACCTGTCCGTTGGCGTGGGGGACCTGTCCGTTGGCGTGGGCGACCTGTTCGTTGGCGTGGGCGACCTGTTCGTTGGCGTGGGGGACCTGTTCGTTGGCGTGGGGGACCTGTTCGTTGGCGTGGGGGACCTGTCCGTCGGCGTGGGGGACCTGTCCGTTGGCGTGGGGGACCTGTCCGTTGGCGTGGGTGACCTGATCGTTGGCGCGGGCGACCTGTTCGTTGGCGTGGGCGACCTGTTCGTTGGCGTGGGGGACCTGTCCGTTGGCGTGGGCGACCTGTTCGTTGGCGTGGGGGACCTGTCCGTTGGCGTGGGGGACCTGTCCGTTGGCGTGGGGGACCTGTCCGTTGGCGTGGGGGACCTGTCCGTTGGCGTGGGCGACCTGTTTGTTGGCGTGGGCGACCTGTTTGTTGGCGTGGGCGACCTGTTTGTTGGCGTGGGGGACCTGTCCGTTGGCGTGGGGGACCTGTCCGTTGGCGTGGGCGACCTGTTCGTTGGCGTGGGCGACCTGTTCGTTGGCGTGGGCGACCTGTTCGTTGGCGTGGGCGACCTGTTCGTTGGCGTGGGGGACCTGTCCGTTGGCGTGGGGGACCTGTCCGTTGGCGTGGGGGACCTGTCCGTTTGCGTGGGGAACCTGTCCGTTTGCGTGGGGCAACTGTCCGTTTGCGTGGGGCAACTGTCCGTTTGCGTGGGGCAACTGTCCGTTTGCGTGGGGCAACTGTCCGTTTGCGTGGGGCAACTGTCCGTTTGCGTGGGGGACCTGTTCGTTGGCGTGGGGGACCTGTTCGTTGGCGTGGGCGACCTGTTCGTTGGCGTGGGGGACCTGTCCGTTGGCGTGGGCACCTGTCCGTCGGCGTGGGGGACCTGTCCGTTGGCGTGGGGGACCTGTCCGAGCATAAACATCAGACTGTGTATGCTACAATAAACTTGTAATCTTTCAGACATTTAAGAAATGCAATGTGCTATTAAAAGCATGGCTAGTTGGAGACTAGTAGTGAATTCAAACAAAACATACTCTAGTCAGTCACACTCATAGAAGGCTGAGGTCTTAATGGCTTGTGCATGTTAATATTACACAAAACGTTATGGAGGAAGAAAGAATCGCAAAATAGACGACAAATGAGGCTCATCTCCCAATTTAAGCATGAACTCATAGGGGCTAAATATGCCAGTGGTTAAAGGAAACTCAAGCAGAGGTGAATGCAATTCCAAAAAATCGGAATGTAGCTAAAAATAGTAGTGTCATGCTAAAAGACGTTGCTTTTACTATAAATCAATGTACACTATTTCAAATATTTTGAATTTTTAATGAAAAGTGTGTTGACAGTATGAATGGTTCCTTACACATTTAAACAGATTAAAAAGAAACTCTTACTGTCCCAGTATATTGTCGATATACTGGGGCTGTAAGGCACAATACATTGTTGCAGCATTTTAAAACTGAGATATTTTCAGTGCCTAGATTTTCAACCTAGAGGCAGAATGGGCTGAAAACATTGAATGATACATTGGATAAAAAGAATAAAGAAAATAAATGCCGCATACTGTAGTTCAAATCATCAAATCAAATCAAATCAAACTTTATTTCAGGAATGCATACATTTACATGAATAAAATTCTACAGTACAGAGGAGCTCCCGAAGTTAGAAAACTGTCAGGGGGACCTCCGTTAGAGAATAAGTCAAGTGCGATATCGTTCCACAAGTTGCCAACACACACATAAAATACGCGAGTACGCATTCAAAACCACAACTTTAATAACTACTTCTTTTTAAAAACAAATACAGAGTGGAACAAACTTCCCGAAGATATTGTAAACTTCAGTGACAACAGCGGTTTTTTTTTTCATCGTTGTGACATCGTGGCATGCATATTCACTTTTAGTACCCGTTTGCCACATGTCACATTGTACTAAAATATTTTTCGATTGTATGCTGTAATTATTATATGTTGTTTTATTTTCCAGAATGATTAAAGCGTCACTATTCACAGAAATGTTAGTAACCACATTGAATTTCGTGTGTAAACTCCCCTGCAGTAATCCCACTATGGCGTTGCAGGAACTCTAAATAAATAAAAATGAAATATAATTTCACCTCTTTCTGCACTAAAATAGAATCAAGGATTAAACTGTGATTTTTTCCTAAGCACAGCACTTGGTATTTTACACACTGCCACGCTAAAATACTTTGCTATATGTAGTTTTGCGTGTTTTCCAGACCACATACAAAGGGCCCATGCACTTAGTTACTTGCACTTCAATTAAACTTTGGCATTGAGGCAATCTAAGGTCAAACAATGTAAACATAACTAAAATCACGTTAACGTCCTTACATTTCATTTATGTAATCTAGAATTTTATGGCACGAACCACATACAAAAAGAAAACCAAGAAGCTAACCGTGATGGCAATACAGCTTGAAATGGCACAGCTAATGATAAATGAAGTGATCACAATTCATTTTACATCAAGCAAAATCCCTGGCATAGTACCTTGTCTTGTCAAACAGACGGACAAGGATTATTAGTGGCAAAACAAAAAAAAACAATATGAATAACATTTTCATAAATTAAATATATAGCAAGCCATATTAGCCATTCCAGAAGCCGGGCTGATTGACCAAACAGTAATACGTGTTTTGCAGCAGTGGCCATGTCATTGGGCATAAAGCCAATGATGGGCAGGCAACATTGATGTAGTAAACTACACATACTCTGCTACTATAGCACATGTGATTCACCAATAACTGCAACAGATGCTAGCAGAGTAGCGTACATACCTTATAGCAAGGATGTCAACACTACATATAAGATGGATACCTAGAGTCGTTTTAGTGATTTCACTGGAATATTCAGTCAACTTTAAGGTAAAGGAAAAATGTAAGTATTGTTTGTTCTTCGACGAACTACAACGTTTAGTTGATGCAATATGGCCATACATGTGGTGTAGGAATAATGTGAATGTCTGCGGCAACGTTAAACGTAAAGGCACAAATATGCAGTTTATTTACAGCCAATATATTTGCTCATGATCTCGAACACAACTATGTGTGTGTGTATGTATTATATATATATATATATATATATATATATATATATATATATATATATATATATATATATATATATATATATATGTACTGTACAATGTCAATTTTTATTTAAGTGGGCACGTGAGCGTGTGGCCTGCCAACTCTGGTGGCTGCTTGCAGCATGTTCAAACGGGGGCGAGAGTTACCACAGCCTTTTTTTGCGTCATCTAGTGGCGAGCAAAACAAGCAGTCATAGGTGATATAAAACTGGTGGCAAACGTGAACCCCTCCCCCTTTTTAAGGCATAACAGGTCAGGCTTGGCCTCTTGTGGGTTCGATTTCTGCTGAAACCCCGATATTTTTGCATTCGCCTCAATGCTGCTAATGTCAGTTTTCATTACCACTCTCACATTCTAACAACTAATGTCTTCTTGCCATTCCTGGGTAAATATAAATTATCAATCACCTGTGGAACATATCGTGGCTCATGGTATCCAATTATATGCCGTATAAGTCTGGAGAAAAGGCTTTGACAGCGAATGCAACGGGATTTTCACCTTAGTCATGCCATGACCAGGTCAAAAAAGAAATTACAACTCGCTCAGACTCAATTAAGAAATACATTTTGCTATGAGGACTCACTCCGACTCAGACTCGCCACATTGAGAGTGCTCAGTCTCCCTGTACTTTTTCAGAACCGAACTGAAGTACGGACCCAAGCTCACCAACATAGCTACTCAGTCAGACTCGCAGTTTCGCCTGAATCTGGGCTGATTCACGAGTTCATTAGTGCAAAATTACCTTTTTCAATCTTAGTGTTGAAGCTCCTTAACACAAGCTACTCGCATATTCGATTCCTTATAATATGCCTTTAATCTTGTAGCTTCAAGAACGAGTTCTCAGTGGTTTCAATTGGTTGAGGAGACTTTTATGAAATATGCGATTCGCGCGGGATATCTTGAGGAACCACCTAACCTGAAAAAATTGGTTGGGAGGGTCGTGGCACCCTTGCACCCCTAATTCGCTCTTTGAATCAACAAATATTGTGCAGCACATTGTTGAAGTATCTGTGAAAAGACTTAGTACAAAGTTGAGTTGATGTAACACTCAACCAATGAAAAAAATGTCAGTGTTCCCTGAAGTAGCAAAAATAATTTTTGGACTTCAACATCTCTAAATCACCATGTCATTACGAGACAGACGCCGTAGTGAAGGGTTCTCAAAATTTTGACCACCTTGGGTTCTTTATAATTTGCACCTATATCTATGTACAAAGGCCTCAAGCATTTTCACCTTCATTTAAAATGCCGCTGCTGTGAATGAGATTTCATCCTACACTTGTGGGTCAGCAGTTGAGCACCATGACCACAAGACCGCCTTGGTGGGTGAAATAGCGAAAAAAAAGGGAACATGTATGATGCAAAGAGGGCTCTCTGAATATGCACAAAAAACATTTGTTTTTCCATTTGACAATACTGCCCAACAATGGAAAAATGCACACCATTGTGTCAGCAAAAGGTTTTCTCAAGGTCTTTAATGTGGTTGTCATTAATGTTCAGACCTCCTTCAGTATTGTCAGTACCACACTGCTTAGGTTACTATAGCTGTTAAAACGGATAATTTTTTCATATCACTGCACACTGCTGCCTTGGCCACATGTAACAGTAATCAACGCTTGAACATCCTACATGCTGTACATTTCATTCAATATATGCATACCTGAAAATCACAGAATTTTCAGTGTCACATTATTTCTATTTAAAAAGATGACATTTAGAAATGCTCATGACAACGATTAACAAAATGACTTACGCCCTTGTTTGCATGGTATCCTTGAGAAAGTATCTAAGCTGGAAATATGGCCAAGTGATGGTGATACACTCCACATCGTCCAGGCCGGCACCGCTCTTTGCTTTTTTATTTGCTACGAAGAGCCGCCGAAACTTGTCGCGAAGCGACTTCCAGCACTTCTGTACAAGCTCCGCGACGTCTGCGCAATGGGAAATACAAAGATGGAAGCGCTTATGCATGTCGCTCGAACGACCCAGTGCTAACTTACCACCAATATTTACATTCGGTAACACGGCTGCAGCTACCTCCCGCCACATCGCGACCTTCACAATCTTGTCTTTGTGCTGCTGGTGGCTTGCCATCCACAAGGGTAGTCTATGCTGCACTGCAGCGATGAGAATCTCGTTGTCAATGAAGGCACCGTCCATTGCTTGCTCCTCACACGACAACTGCAGCACTGCACGGCTGAGCACAAAGCACCGCGCTTGTGCAGCACATCTTCCGGAAGTGAGACCATGAGCGCCGTAATCATCCGGTGCGACCACAGTTGTTCGAAGATTTTCGAGGCCGAAAATTGTCTTGCCTGCGTATTGCATCGGCTGCTAGTGGATGTAGTTTTGCAGGAACACATACGATCAGCTAGAAATTTTTCACAGTAGGATATTTTCACCGCTGTATGACGACGGCTCACAGATCACACAGTTGCATTCGTCGTATGCTTCTCGTTAACACGCACACCGGTGCTACAGTGCAATTCGTTCACGTAAACACGCACATCGGAGCTACAGCTGAATTCGTTGGTGTAAACACGCACGCCGGATCAATTCGTTCGTGTCAGTGACACCATGTACTACAGCTCAACGGAGTTCGTACGCCGATGTAAACGATGATCACATGTCACTAGCTTGGCATCACACGCTACTGCAAAGGCATCAGGCAAGCCTCAAGCACTCTTTCTAGGTATTATTTTTTTCTTTTTTTAGCTAGCTGAGACGTAAACAACTTAACTTTCGTTGTCTGAGTTAGTCACATCAGCTTCCACCGAGGAATGCAAACGAAGCACACATCTTTTTCGGCATCCGGCTAGTGTCGATCATCTTGACTTCTATCATCGGAAGCATCTTACCACCACAGTCCACTGACTTCGAGCACAACGTATTGAGATGAAAGCACAGGCGCAGTACAATCGCCGATACGATGTTTTCCCACGGCCAACGACCACACCGAAACGGGCAGGCACTCGCTAGGAAGCCGGCAGGTACTCGCTGGATTTGTCGGCGTCACTCGCACTCGGCACGAAATTGAGTCACGCTGGTAGCACTCGCAGACATTCGTCGTGTCATTCTAGATGACGAAGCGGTCATACAGGAACGTTTGGAGTAGTTTTCGTGCTTGCCTCTAGCACTCGGCCGTGCCTTCGAAGCGGCGGCCATTAGGCCCAGCACGACTCTGGTTGGTTGGCGCCGCTGTACGCGTGGTGACGTAGCGTAGGCGAGGCGAAATATCAAGCCCGGCTTGATCCCTCGCGCCTGCTCGCGTATGCCCCTCCGAAGTCGACGCCGAGAGGCGCATTTGACGCTTTTGACGCGTAGACGCGAGCATACGCGTGCCAGTGGTTGGCACTTTAGACCGGAGCTGCGCTGAGAACGGTGGCACCACCGCCACAACGCTGACTTTCTTCGAGATGACTTGTGCGAACGATGCCTGAGCGAGGGCGCCGTTTACGTAGCGGGGCCTGTCCGTTGGCGTGGGGAGCCTGTTCGTTGGCGTAGGGGACCTACCTGTCCGTTGGTGTAGGGGACCTGTCCGTTGGCGTAGGGGGCCTGTCCGTTGGCGTGGGGGGCCTGTCCGTTGGCGTGGGGAGCCTGTCCGTTGGCGTAGGGGACCTGTTCGTTGGCGTAGGGGACCTGTTCGTTGGTGTGGGGGACCTGTTCGTTGGTGTGGGGGACCTGTTCGTTGGTGTAGGGGACCTGTCCGTTGGCGTAGGGGACCTGTCCGTTGGCGTAGGGGGCCTGTCCGTTGGCGTGGGGAGCCTGTCCGTTGGCGTAGGGGACCTGTCCGTTGGCGTAGGGGACCTGTTCGTTGGTGTGGGGGACCTGTCCGTTGGTGTGGGGGGCCTGTCCGTTGGTGTGGGGGGCCTGTCCGTTGGCGTAGGGGGCCTGTCCGTTGGCGTAGGGGGCCTGTCCGTTGGTGTGGGGGACCTGTTCGTTGGTGTGGGGGACCTGTCCGTTGGCGTGGGGAGCCTGTCCGTTGGCGTGGGGAGCCTGTCCGTTGGCGTAGGGGACCTGTCCGTTGGCGTAGGGGACCTGTTCGTTGGCGTAGGGGACCTGTTCGTTGGCGTGGGGGGCCTGTCCGTTGGCGTGGGGGACCTGTTCGTTGGCGTGGGGGACCTGTCTGTTGGCGTGGGGGACCTGTCTGTTGGCGTGGGGGACCTGTCTGTTGGCGCGGGGGACCTGTCTGTTGGCGCGGGGGACCTGTCTGTTGGCGCGGGGGACCTGTCTGTTGGCGCGGGGGACCTGTCCGTTGGCGTGGGGGACCTGTCCGCTGGCGTGGGGGACCTGTCCGTTGGCGTGGGGGACCTGTCCGTTGTCGTGGGGGACCTGTCCGTTGGCGTGGGGGACCTGTCCGTTGGCGTGGGGGACCTGTCCGTTTGCGCGGGGGACCTGTCCGTTTGCGCGGGGGGCCTGTCCGTTTGCGCGGGGGGCCTGTCCGTTTGCGCGGGGGACCTGTCCGTTTGCGCGGGGGACCTGTCCGTTTGCGCGGGGGACCTGTCCGTTTGCGCGGGGGACCTGTCCGTTTGCGCGGGGGACCTGTCCGTTTGCGCGGGGTACCTGTCCGTTTGCGCGGGGTACCTGTCCGTTTGCGCGGGGGACCTGTCCGTTTGCGCGGGGGACCTGTTCGTTTGCGCGGGGGACCTGTCCGTTGGCGAGGGAGACCAGGCCCTTTGCGTGTTGGACCTGTCCGTTGGCGTAGTAGACCTGTCCGTAGGGGACCTGGCCGTTGGCGGCTCCTCCCACCGAGACGACCGCCGGTCGCCCCACGGTGCGAAGCACGGAGGCGATGCCCCCCGCCGCCACTCTGCAACGTCCACGAGGCTGTCTCTGTAGCAGAACGGCCTCCATCGGGATCAAAGACCATGTTTGCGACGCCAGATTACGACTAAAGGGACGGAGAGACAACTGCCTTCGGCACAGTACAGTGGGCAGGGGGCGGCTTCCGGTGGAGTGTAGCGTGCCAGCGAGGTACCTGCCGGCACCGGTTGCTACCGAGCTCCTTCATACATATATACATGTCCATATCAAGCACAGTGAAGGTACGCTAACCACAACTGATACATAAACGTCATCGATGAAAATGTTTATGAACAGCTCAAGCGAATCACTGAAGCAAATGAGACAATGACGATGCTAAAAGTATACACGAGTAAAAAAAGTAGAATCGGAAATCTAAATTAAGCACTAAAATACAAAAGGCACAAGAACTTCGGAGTTCATTGAATGATTCTCAATGAGTCGATTACAGAGACAAACCACTTAATTTGCCAGCGCATTAATTCAAACCAGGCGCGATGGTATCAAACTTATGAAGTAGGAAGAATTCCTTGGCTTCCCTGCCATAATTAGAGCGAAAGCCAGATTCAAGTACATCTATATTTAAAGGAAAGCGTACAGTGATATATATATATATATATATATATATATATATATATATATATATATATATATATATATATGTATACACAGTGTGCTTCTCTACACTAATAGGTCTTGGGTGGACGCCTGCTTTAAAACTTTTTCCCAGGGTAAGACTCGCGCACAATTAAATAGAATGTGTACATGCCTATGTTTACATAAACACGGAACAACAACAAAAGTACTTCAAGAGAAGCTTCCTTCAACCGCTTTCTGTGCTCACGGAATAATGCATGCAGCACAAACCGTCACAGGTCGACGAATGAACAAACGCCCTTCTGTTGGTTTCAATTTTTGCGTTTTAATTAAAAATGAGCTTTGTGGTGACGGCACTCAATCAGGAGCACAGCACAGCAAGATCGCAAAGTACATTTAGCAATGAGCTGTTTTTCAGAGAGGAGCGTTTCTTTCCGCGAAGAGTCTAAAACAGGACGACCCCTCTGCTTCGAGTTCTCTTTCGCTTCCCCAGGTGGAACCGGAAATGAAATATGCCCGAGTTGCCTGGCTCGTGACGACTGCTTTTTAAGTGTCACGGGCGTTGGTTGTTCCTCGTTCAGTTCCCGTGCTTCACACGCTCAAGCGCACATGCGTGCAAACATACACGCACACCAAACATTGGCACACAAGAGACTGGCCCCTTTCATCAGGTTAAAATGCCCCCTTTTCAGACATCTGTTTTACAAACACACACACACGCACGCACGCACACACACACATACTAACAAAAAATTCCTTCGTATCCACTTCAGTTGGCGTCTGTAAGGCACAACTCTGTTTCTGAGATATCCACACGACGCACATTAGCTACCAACGCTTTATCAGGACGTCGCTTCATACTCCGAGTCACCCCCCCTAGCTATCGTAGGGTATCATGATAATGTTTGCGTGGATGCTCTCGATTATAATCGCAGTTATGCCAACAAAGGTGGGGGAGAACCCCTGCGGCTGATAACGAAAGCATCACTGCTCTGTTTTCCCAAAATGCATGAACCATGGCATACGCAACGCTTTCGCGAGTAATTATTATCCCTGACTCGTTTTCCTTTGAAAAGCATGCCATTATTTCAACTGGCGCCTTGTCTATGTTCGCAATGGCACCCCGCCGCGGTGGTCGAGTAGCTAAAGTACACTCGGCTGCCGACCCGCAGGTCACGTGATCAAGTCGCGGCTGCGGTGGCTGACTTTCTGATGGAGGCGAAAATGTTGTAGGCCCGTGTGCTCGGCTTTGGGTGCATGTTAAAGTACCCCGTGTGGTTGAAATTTCCGGAGCCCTCCTCTGCGGCGTCTCTCATAATCATATGGCGGTTTTGGGACGTCAAACCCCACATATGAATCAATTATCAATTTCCCAAAGGCAAACGGGCAGCTCAGGGTTTCCTGCAGCATTGCTGATTGGAACGAGAGCCCGCCGTGCTTGGCTACACTGCTCCTGGTGAATAAATTGACTCCGACTTCTGAGAGACTGCTGTTACCAACCTCATCAACGCTTACCTCAATCTCAAGACCGCTGGTTTACATCCCACTTCGCCATTTTGTTTGTATTTTCTTGCAGTCAACGGCAACGCATTTTAAATAAACACACACAAGCACAAGCCCTAAACGCTGAACTTAAGGAAATACACTGCTGCTGCATGTCAACTTGCTACTTCCTGAGAAGCTAATCGGCTTATTGCTTGCATTTCCGTGCCGCACTCGTTAGATTCCTCTCTTATATTTTTTGAACAAATTGGCTTTTTAAAAAGAACCAACTTGGGAAATTTCCCCTCTTTATTTATGCTAGATTTACTTGGAGCCCGTTATACCCTCCTGGTGGTATGGGCTACCCTCTTTTTTGTTTGGTATTTTCATATGTACGGGGCGAAAAAAGCACACACACAAACACACACACACAGGCACTCACTATGTTAATGCCTCTTCTTGACCGGTGCAGGTGTCCGCTCTTTCTTCACACCTTTTACAAGCATGGACCACGACTGAAGCATATCCGTGTGCGCAAACGCAAACTCACGTGAATACCCCTGGTGAATTTTCTTTCTTCATCATGACACAGGTCTCCGCTCTTCCTTGAATAATTGCTTCCTTCAATAATTTCTTCGTTAATACACAACTACTGACACACATTCACATATACACTCACACATTACGCACACTCTTTCTCTCACACGCACGCAACAAATCTCCTTTACACACATACACAACCACTGGCACACACAACCACTGGCACACACAACCGCTGGCACACACAACCGCTGGCACACACAACCGCTGGCACACACAACCACTGGCACACACAACCACTGGCACACACAACCACTGGCACACACAACCACTGGCACACACAACCACTGGCACACACAACCACTGGCACACACAACCACTGGCACACACAACCACTGGCGCACACAACCACTGGCGCACACAACCACTGGCGCACACAACCACTGGCGCACACAACCACTGGCGCACACAACCACTGGCACACACTCACACGCACGCACGCACACACACACACTCACACGCACGCACGCACGCACACACACACACACTCACACGCACGCACGCACACACACACACTCACACGCACGCACGCACACACACTCACACACACGCACACACACACACACACACGCGCGCGCACGCACACACACACACCAAATGAATCCTTGTTCTTGATCATGATCCAAGAGCTCCTTCTCGTTTTATTCCCTCTACGCGCATACGGGACCACTGACTCACATGTGCGAGTCTGTGGACGTGCTCGCACGCATACAGAAACAAAAATACATCACACAAGCCAAGTGAATGACTCTTCGTCAGCTGCAGGCGTTCACACTTGACCGCGACCGCGGTGGACTTCTCGCGCGCCGCCCAACGATCAACTCCGCGCGCACACGAGGCGCGCGGAGTCATCAGTCTTAGATCTTTTCAGAGGGCCGGGAACTACATCAGTCATCCTTCTTTTTCGCTGATCACATTCGACCCAGAAAGAAAGACGGGTAAGAGGCCGCTCCTATACGAAGAATCTTCTTTTTCGCCCATCTCGTGTAGTGGACGTTCTTTGAGAACAGTGACTGGAGAAGAAGAGCGAATTCGTTTTGAATTCTCTTCCGTTTCGTCTGACACGAGCGCCGAAGAGTTTAAAGCCCGTAAAGGGGGACGCTGTTGATTTGGACTAGGTTTGAGGCTTGTGACGCGTAAGATGAGGGTTATCAGTAAGTGGAGAGGACAGAAGTGTTCGCAGATCAACCATCGAGAAGAAAACAACGAACAAATTTCGCGTGCTCTCTCTCCCTCCAGTGTCGTCCTAAACGTTTTTGTACATAACAAGCGAGGCCACTCCAGTGTTATCCTAACACACCCTTGATCACGTGACCATACAAAATTGGGAGTGCTGGAAGATGGCGCTGTATCAAGCTACAATCCCACAGAAGTAACTTGCATGTAGCTTCCTTACAGAATTATTCGACTCAGACAATATCCGGAACATCACGACAACGGCGCCTTCAAATCTCGATGCAATCGTGTTGGTGGACATCGTCGCAGATTGTGACATTCTGGTGCGGTGTTGTCCTATTCCCAGATAGCCTCGACCACCTCCATTCACAACTTATTCATTGTCCTCCTGTAGAGGAACCAAAGAAGGAAACACAACTGATGTGATACAGACAGGCTCTGAATTTTCAACTACATGTTTGATTCAGTCGCGTGAAATCCTTTTTTCAGCCACGAACTTTCTTCGTAGAATATAGCAGCTCAATCTCGGACACTGTTTTCGTAGTATGGAAATCGGTCCGAGCTGTACGCTGTCCTTTGCGACCAGTCAGAATTCGTGTCATTGTTGTAATACAGAATAAGTGACCGTAGAGGACATGCCTGCCTCAACGTGGTTGTGCTTGCTGACGCGGTCGAGATAGCATTTGCCTTCGCGAAATGGCAAAATAGCACTCATCATTCACCCTATTCAAGAGAAAACGATCGATAGATGCAGCAGGGGTAATCGTTTCGAAGCCTTCGCAGCGACTCCGCTTGTAGGCATGAGGCTTGCTTGAAGTCGACGTGGTAATATTCCTCGGATCAGTAGCACTTGCTTTTGAAGAGCGTTTCATGTTTGTGGGTAGAGTCAAACTAAAAGCGCATAGTAAGCCACAACTGGAAGACAAAAATATAGCAGTATTGTTATGACCTTTATAAACCCTGATAGCACTGCTGTTGGAGTGTTCAGCGTTTACTAAGCGATAACTACTATCGCCCTCAAGAAAAGTAGTAAAAATAACTGCGATGGTAATGCAGATGACACGAGCTAATATTGCAAATTATCAATACCTGATAAAGTACAAATAAGAGATGGCGTCGTTTGAAAGTTCGTTTGCCATTGTTTACGGGTTTTCGATTACCTTCCCGGAATGACGGCATCA